TAGACATAAGAATGGCTCGGAATTTTGAGGATGTGGAGAACAGGAAGTTGTTCTCTACATCGACGCCAACGACTATCGATATTGCTAGGCAGTGATTCATCCCAATGAAGTTTCAAGGACCATAATTGTTGGAGTAGGATTTTGCCAATGATGATGCATGGCCCAAGAAGACCTAAGGGATTGAAGATTTGAGCAATGTCAGAAAGAATAGAGCGTTTGGTTATGGCTCTTGGGTTGGAAGATGGTTCGGATATGCTGTACATGAGGTGATCTGAAGAGCATGACCAGAAAACACCTAGGATCTTTACACGTTGATCTGAACCTATGTTTATGATGGTTTGGGAATGATTAGATTGGACATGATCTAAGACTTGCTTGCTGTTTGAAGCCCATTTTTGAAACTCGAAGCAGTCAGCAGAAAGAATGGAGGTGAGTTCATCACATACCTTTACTGCCTCTTCTTCGGATTGACAGCTAGAAAGAAGATCGTCCAAGTAAAAATCATTTGATAAGATATGAGCTGAATGTGGGAAAGTGTCAGCATGTTCTAAAGCAAGCTGCTTAATGCATCGAACTGATAGCCAAGAAGATGAGGCGGTTCCGTAGGTAACCGTACAGAGTTGAAAGGTTTCGAGCTCTTGCGAAGGATCAGCTCTCCACAGAATGGTTTGCAGATGATGTTGGGTTTCATCTATCCTGATATGTCTGAACATATTGACCAAATCAGCTCTTATGGCGATAGGACCCTGACGGAGTCTCAGAAGAATTGAAAATAAGCTATCTTGAATGGTTGGACCTATGTACTGAAGGTCGTTTAGGGAATCGCCAGTGTCAGATTGAGATGATGCGCCGAACACGACTCTGAGCCTTGTCGTTTTGTTGTTCTCATTCACAACTGCGTGATGAGGTAGGAAGTAAGAAGAAGAAGGTATCTTAGAAGAAGGTATCTTGACCATGTGACCGAGACTGTGGTACTCTTCCATGAATCTAGTGTAAGGTTCGCGCAAAGTAGGTTGCTTGGAAAGTTTATTTTCCATTGAGTGGAATCTTTTTATAGCGCATTCCCTGGAATCCGCTAAGTGGGAGGGGTTTAGTTTAAGAGGAATTTGGACAATGAAGCGACCACTTTCGTCTCTGCGAGTGGTCGTTTGCAAAATATCCTTACAGATCTGCTCCTCCGAGGAGAAGTGAAGATTCTTTGTGACGACAGGTTCTTCAACCTCTCAGAATTTGGTTAGTAGATTATGGATTTCTTGACTTGTTGTCAAGTTGCATGAAGTTTGGTTAGGATTACCATTACAAACAGGAATAGGCCCGGAAAGTACCCAACCAAGAATGGTTTTCTGTAAGGTGGGTAGGATTTTCCCAAGGCGTATCTGTCCAATGCAAATCAAATTGTAGGAGATTTCGGCTCCCAGAAGCATGTCGACTTTGGAGCTTTCGAAGTAAGTAGGATGAGCAAGATTTAAGGGACCTGGAATGTTCAAAGAAGAAACATCAATGATTTGATTAGGTAAGTTGTGATTTATCGTTGGAAGTACCAGGCAATAAACCGTTGCAGTGTAAGAAGTGTGTGCGGATTCGAAGGTAACCTTGCAGGTTTTGTTGATATTAGAGGCTACTTGATTTATGCCTAACACTGAGATTTGAAAAGGTAAGGTACACAATCCTAAGCGTTCACAAGTTTCTTGTGTTATGAAGTTGGACTGTGATCCTGAATCAAGTAAGAGTCGCAGGGATTGCGACGTCCCTGCCTGTTTTTGACATAGACCACGGCTGTTGAAAGAAGTATTTGCAAAGGCCCAGGAGAACTGTAATTCGCGCTGCCTTCTGAATATCCCGACCACAGGATTTCTAGGAGTAGAAGTTGATGAAGTATTTGTGTTCAGAGGATCTGTGGTGAAGTCGTTGTAGAGCAAAGTATTATGCCGTTTCTTGCATTTTCGGCAAGCACCGGCCATGCAATTCCTAAGTGGGTGAATGCCCTGCAAACAGTTTAAGCATAATTTATGATTTTCTAGCTGTGTTAGTAGATTTTCGCTAGAAAAGATGCAGTTTTTTGCATCACTAGAAGCGCTAGCTTGGTAATAATGAGTGTTTTTAGTCTCTCTGCCGAGCGAAACCGTTTCCAAGAAGTCTGCCCTGCCTTTGAGGAAGGCTTCAAACTGATGTAAAGAAAGAACTTTGTTTTTAGGCGAGTTCAAAGAAACCTTTCATTCCTCCGATTCCCCAGAGGTTATTTTGTCTAGTTTTTGGCTCAAAACGAAAATAAAAAGAGTATCCCAGTACTCAACAGGTTGATTGAACCAAGGCTTGTAGAGAACGTAAGTGTTGTGATAAGTTATCGAGCATCTTACGTAGATCTGATGCGGACTCTTTCACCATGATAGGTGAGTTAAAGATTGACTTGATATGGTTTTGAATGAGCAAGTTATCGTTGCTATAGCGTTGTGTTAATGTTTCCCAAGCAGTGTGGTACGTTTCCGCCGAAAATTCAATTGATCGTATGACTTGTACTGCACCACCCTCTAGAGCTGAACGCAGATAGTCATATAGTTAGATGTCATTTATTGAACTATTGTGGTTTATCAGAGAGTCAAACGTGTCCCTAAACTCTAGCCAGTTTTCATAATACATAATTTGGGCAATGCTATCACAGGTAATTTGATATTAAACTGGTTAGAATGCGTATTTTCGAGAGATTTGATAGCTGGGGCTGCAGGGAATCTGCCAGAACAGTGTCTGATACGCCACTGTTTACAATGTAATAATTTGAAATTATTTTCTTGCAAGGTGACATAAGGCTGTAATAAACTGATTAAAAGTTTTCTCTCTGTTGTAACTGAGCATCGAAATCGTCTGAAGTAGATTCAATGTCAGATTGCACATACTCAAAGTCTTGAAACATTTTCTCGTATTTCTCTACCCTTAACTCCAATTCAATGATAAGAGATTTGTCGAAAGTCTGCAAAGGAACATCTTGTATCGCCTCCTCCAGCTGAGAAATAATTTTTTGAACAATGTAAGTTGTGCTTTGAATGCACCTCGTTTTCGGATAAGGTGTCGAAGAGTTAAATCTTCCATGTTTATAAAATGCCCAAAGGCAAGCAAGAAAGACACGCATAAAGCTTAAAGTAATCCACACAAGTAAGTGTAAATTGAGTAATAAGTGATATGCACCGTTAACTGCGATATGAATTAAGTAAATGATTGAATATGCATGCAGCTAGGCCTTTGGTAAGTATGGAGTGTATAAAAGGAATGGGCTTCACTGCGTCATCTCGATGTAACTTGTAGCTTGTAGGTTACCTTGGAATTTCTGAAGGGAATGCACAACTAACCTCACTTCTAAATTTGGCTGTTTCTCCAAGGTGTTTCGTTTTCTCAGGGAATTCACGGCACTGATGTATATCCAAGCTCGAAGGACCAAAATGTTTTGTAGTTTTGCTGCTGATGAACGGTGGCTTATGAAGGAAACACCCGCTCAAAGGAATGCGTGTTTATTCTCGAAGATTGTATAAGTGACGTCTCTTGCAACTGGCGTCATATCGGCCTCGCTGTCTCGTCGCGCATGCGCTTGATGTGGAAGCAAGTATTAACAGGTTGAATGCCATGGCGGTCGCATACGACCGCTTGCAAATAATCCCACCATGCCAAGGCGGTCGTATGCGACCGTTCCACACTTACCTTCAAAATTCATTTATGCTGTGCCAGCGGTCTTTGATAGGCATATAATTATTATGGCAGAAGACCGCTGTGGCATACACGCCTAGCTTAAGTTAGCGGTTTTCGGTGTAGCTTACAAGGGAAAGTGAAAATGTCTGAAGTCGTTTTTTAACTTTTATTGAAAAATATATTTAAAAAACATATGCGAGGTCGAACCCCGGGGAATTTAGTACAAAACAAGGCTATTGAATACCTCGATTTACATAAGGTGACTGAATATTAATAAGTGTAGGTTGAAAAAGTCTAAACAAAAGTGAGGTTCACCTTCGCATAATGCACAGTAGGTGACGACTTTTTGTTACCCTGCTTTTTAGAATTTCAATTTGCACTTTTTTAGCATAGCAACCTCGGCAGTATTTTTTCACTTTATCGAAGGCGCCTATTTTCTTCGATATAGAATGATATCTTTTTGAGGCCTTTGAGGTCTGATGTGGTCGGGATTTCAGTAGATGGGTGTTATCGTAATTCAGAAGTGATAATTCCAGTTGCTCACGGAACTCTATTTTTCACTGAACGCTACGATCAACAAAAACAAACTAACCTAATTGCAAAGCATTTTTATTTCATGTTTTTGACCCGAAGTTCACAAATTCAAACTCGCAAAAGACCGCTAGGGCGACCGCTTGGTACTACGGGAATGATAATGTCAGTTATGCCGCGACGGCTGTATACGACCGCTGACTCATTTTTACCAATATATATACTAATAAAAAAATATAAAGAAAATTAATTACTTAGTATAACGTCTGATGCAAGAAGCTTCACTTTTTTGAAGTTGTCACCAGAGACTTTTACTACCATTTTTCATGGCAGTCAACCTGTTAATACACACATGGAGGAAAGTTTTGAGGCGTAAACAATGAGTATTTTTAATATATAGCTTTTGACGTAGGTAGATATTTTTTATATTATGCAAAATCACTTTTCAGCACTACGATATTGAGATGTTAGAAGAAATAATTACAAAAACATATCGAGACAAAGAGCGTCCAGAGATGGTTTTCTTGAGATGAATGAATAAGAGTAATTTTCATTTTTACTTGGAGCATTATAGTATATGTTCTATTTGTAGGGTTGAAAGTGAATTTCAAAGAAAATGGTGATTTGAGTAATTATTGTCTTCATAATAGAAGATGCAGTAAAATGTTGGTATTGGAATGAAAACTTTGAAGTTAATAGATGATTAGGATGATCCTGATGAATACTGGGAAATATATGAATTGTGTTCATTGGTTTGGATATTTGCTGTAGCTGAACTATTTTTTTTCTTTCAGGGAATTGCCAAAACAAAAGCGGAGAAAGCCAAAAGTACTAGATATTTAATCTGAAAATGGAAATATTATATCTCAAAACAAAAGGATTAGAAAGAACCCAAAATATGATATCAGTGCCTCAGAGACTGATGAAGAATGCACAGTTTTCTCTACATTTGAGGTAAACATTTTTTAAGATATTGAAAGAATTGTTTGAAGTTGCTTCAAATGAATTGCCTCAGATGAATGAAAGATTCATTTTTTAAAGTGATCTTCATACTATCTATATAGATTTATTGTGATTGCTGATAATATGACATGTAAATGGTCTGAGTCTGTAAGCTATGAAACATGAACTAGATATCAAACATCAAGTCCATTAGTACCAAGGTTGCGCTGTTTTACCTGTTGTAGTGCTAATACAGTCATTAGAAACACTGTACACCCCTAGCACATTCAAACGAAATATATAGTCAACCACATTTGCTGTACACAATTAATTCTACCTAAATTAGGTAATCAGAGCACTAAATTTGTGGCCAATAGAATGCTAGGATTTTATTAGTTACTTTAAGGAATCTGGGCAGCCCTATCTCAAATATAGTCACTTAGGCAGTCTGATAATGTTTCTGACATAAAGATGAGTCATTCTTTTTGTGGAACTTTGTACCAATTTGTACCATGCCATGGTACAAATCTGCAAAAAAAACAAAGCTTGCTAAGGGACGAAATATTGAGGTTGCTATCACAATCCACCGTAGATTAACAGCCATAGAGAAAAAAAACTTTCAATAAATCAAATTTTTGTCATTCTTAATAGCTTCATCAGGAATTTCTCAAAAAAAATTTTCAGGAAGATGGAAATACGATTTTGTAGTATCAAACACAAAGATTCAATCACATTAAGATTGATATACCACGATGAGTAACTTCTAAAATCCTAGTATGGCAATTAATTCTGTATACAGTTTAAACGAACAGAAGGAAATCAATAATTCACTGCCACTGTCTTCCAAAGAAAAATTTGAAAGTTTTGAAGAAGAATGGCTAGATTGAAAAGTAATTACAATGTACTGGTTCTGCATTTAAATTGCTAATATCTTGTATGAGATATAGTAAATAAGTGTGTACAAAAACTTTTTAAAATTAATATTTGAACTCGGTTTTCTTTTATTAGGTGTCAGAATTCAGGAGAATTAGCAATGAGTTATACTTGGGATAGTCATAGACAATAGCTGCAATCCAAAAAGCTACTCCTAGCCAGATGTGCATTAGGTACATATTAACAATTTTCATTAGACAGCTTCTACAACTATATTGTACGTTGGATTACCAGGTAACCTGGATTGTATTGGAAGTTCTGAATTTGAGGCAGGAATTTAGGCGCAGAACTTTAAAATATTGAAATTACAAATTGCTCGTAACGTTTTTAATTCGGTTTGGCTACTTACTAGATGAAAAAAACATTTTTCCTTCATGTTGCAACTTCTGATGTGACAGCTGAAATTTTCATCTTAATCAACCATATCAAAGCAGAGCTTCACATTAAAACTAAGGGTGCAAAAAAATGTATGGAAAATAAACAGTGGTCGGAAACTGTTGAGTCTGATAAAAAAAATCTATGATCTTCTCTTGTATGCATTGTCAAAAATAACTCTTTTAGTCTAATGAAAAATGTCCTTCATATTCTGCTCCTCCCCTGGAAGTCGAGATTCTGCAACTTTCAAATTTAAACCTGGCAACCCTAAATGTGTTTGAATTGCTTACCAATAACTGTATGTTTTTAGACCATATTCCTTCATGTTGGAATATGGAAGCATTAGCATCATTAAGGGATGGTTAATCAGAGCCAAGGAGAGGTAAAAAAATCAGGAGCTCCATTTGTAGTAATAAAGAGTTACATTCATTTTAGATTATAAAAATAAATATATGTGTATACTCATGTTTATAAGTATTTACACCTAGTGTTTTTATTCCAAGATGTGTAATTAGACAGCTCTTGACGCTAACTTAAAAAATGCTTAGTCATTGCATTGAAAGAATCTCATTAACTTTTTAATCTAAAATGCATTATTAATTAAACTACTGCTTTGATGCCTTCAGAAACATATACAGGCAAGTGAAGGAAAGAAAATACCAATATAGGTGGGTAACGTCAAAGCCCGTTCCATTTTTATGGGTTGAGAGCCGGCTTTAGACATACCAACTGCGTGGATCTTCGAATTTTGATCTTAAAAATGTTTATTTAGTAGAAAAGGCATCCTATGCATTGTCTCTCCGTGGCAAAGTTACTACTTGCAGAGTTCTTGTGATTCCTTTACACATACTTTTCGATTGATAAAGCTAGTCTTTAAAATCAATGACAATTTTCAAGAGTGCGAGAGAATCTATCAACTATCACGGAGGTCGCGTATTCATGAAGCTTGACAAGTTGTTTAATTATTTTGTAAAAACGTAGTCAATTATGTATGAAACGGATCTGTTGGCTGATTTCCAGTAGGTCCGCATTTCAGGCGGCTCATTAGAATTCCTCTTCGCCGGCAGCAATCGAAATTTTTCTAAATCAAATAATGTAATATGTATGCTTTTTACTTTTAATTTTTTGCATCATTTTTCATTCCCATAATGTGCATCTAACATTTCAAGAACATCAATACCATATCTGGGAAGTGTGAGGGAGCTCCTGCTAAAAATATGCTCCTGTATGCATGAGAATATCCCATTAATGTTATGTTACAAACTTGTAACCGACCATAAAATTGTTGGGGAATGTTATAAGTACATATCCTGTGCTGACCTCGTACGAATATGCAGCAAAAATGGCCTTTGCTGATGGATTTGAGTGAATAGTGTTGGATAGAAATCAAAGTTTGTTTTTTAAATAGAGGATTGCATGTGATGATAAAGGACAACAATGATTTCATTAGACATTTTTTTCGTGGAAAATACATAAGAATCATAATTCATCATCAAATATAGGGAAATCCACATACAGATGATAGGGATATGTGTTATTTATTAATACAGCTTCCCAAAAAATTAGTTGTTGGAAGAATTGCCAGAAATGAAGATTTTTAGAATAGTTAATCTAGATATAGTGAAAACATGAAATAAAGTATTATAAAAGAATTTAACCAGCATTTTATTTAATATATTTGACAAGTGGATCTTCTCTGTTGACTGGTGATTTGAAATTATTTGGAAAAGGGGCAACACCCTCCAATACTTCCCTACTGAGCGAGGCCATGGCAAATGCTTGTACAGAAACTGTGTTGGAGTTCTTATGCACTGTTAATATTTCCTTCCATTAATACAATAGTTGAATAGTGACAACTAGAATAATTTGTGTTAAACAAAATGCCAATTTGAGTAACATACAAAAGATGAATTAATTCAATCACTGCAGTTGAGAATTAACTAAGTGCAATCTTATATTTTATACTTACATATTGCAATTATAGTCACTGTACACTGTCGAATCACGAGTCATATACATGCTAAGAGTAATGTACGCACAACGCGGGCGCGGTGGTGATTTTTTTAATTCCTCTCAAAGTTTTTGAAAACACAACCATAACTTTGAACATAACCTCTCTTCAGAAAGAACAACACAAATAACTCGTCAGGCACTGCTAATTGATATATTTCATTGGCAGCATGTCAGTAATAATGTTCTCAACTTATTAAATATCACTTTTTTATACACATGCAGACCAATACAATCGTCCAGATGCGGTCTTGCTACTCAAAACTTTCGTTTTTAACATTTTAAACCTACACATTGAGGTCTATGAACTAAGAACTAAGTGGCTCTCTCAGCTCTTTGCAACCAACAATGCATATCTGGGAAGAGAAAAGTATCTCGTATCGTTCAGATATTCCTTCATAGATGGATCGCGCTTACAACGACCCAAGTGAGCAAACGTCAAACGACTGTTTGCACCCTAAAAACTACCTAGTATGGAAGTTGACATCTTATACATTTTTTTGACGTTTTGTAGGTTTTTTACATGATACCCGTGCCGGTCATGTCCAAACGTACAGTCCTGTTTCCTTAGTTATCACTAACCAGGTGGAAAAGCAAAATGTAATGCTAGTCTCACATATGTGCAGATGTACCCAATTTCTATCTGTTACTAGCTGACCCGACAGACGTTGTTCTGTCTTAGATATGAAAGTGTTTATTCTAATGCAAAACAATTTTTGTTTTGTTTTCTGGTGCCTAACAAATAAGGATGATGCTTTTCCCACGCGGGAACAGGTGACATACAACTGGCCGTGTGAAAAACTTATTCATTTTGAAAGCCGTGCAATGTGGACATACAACGTTTATTGGTCCAATAGCAACGATTTGTTGTGAACTGTAATCGATTACCACGTCATAATTGAATGCAGCTCGATTGGGATTAAATGGGACACTTTAACGTTGTGGAATTACTGTCCTTCGATTCCGTTTAACTTCATTTCTCGCTTCTCGTTGCTCGTTAGTTTGACTTCTTCGTATAGTATACCTTTGGCTCACAGCATTGCGAGTTCTGCGAACTAGGTTGGTGCGGCGTATTGGTGGCATTTTGAGGAATCACAATTTTAATATAAGGCAGGATTGCGGTGAACTAACTTCCACCCTTGTTAATAATTTTTGAGCAACTACTTCTCAAAAAACTCAGAGACCAATCAGAAAACTGGATAAAAGCTCAAGTCGAATGGACTGTGCACTAGTAGTTAAATAAAAAAATATGTTCTGATCGATGTTTATTTATGTTAAACGATAATATAAATTTGGGGCGTGCGAACTGTCAAGTTTAAAATGAAAGAGTAGTGAAAGTCAATTGAGCAAAAGAAACGTTTTTTCATCCGTCATTTTTATTCATAGACTCAACTGGCAAAGATAGCAATTAGGCAACACTGCAGTTTCTTTTGAAGGGACAATCACAAAGTACGGACGGTAAAGAAATGACAGTTGAAACGCGAACATAGCTAACCGTCAATAGCTGTTGGAATAAAGATGGCGGATAGGAGTGCCAGTCTCGTCTGGTACTTGAGATATTTCTTCTGCTGTGCGTGCTTCATGCTCAAGCGAAGTGTCAAATGCGCGTAGCTCAAATAATTATAAGGTTTTCATTGATTTCCCAATTTTCTGCCCAATTTTCTTGAACTTTCTTTCCGTAAGAGCCTTCTATGCAGTATAAAGAAACTTAAAAAAAATACGAATGAAATCGGAAGTCGTTCTTATGATATAGCGTAACCATTTATCTATATATATAGATGAATGAATGTTGCTATATTGCTACATTGCTATCACAAACCAGATGGAATTTGCTGTCACAAGCAAAATGTAACGGCACACATCTATCGGCCAACCTTCGGTCCAGTTGTATAATTCTAATATGACATCCGAACGGTACTTCACAAGTTATAGAAAACAGACCGACAGACAGATAGACAGACCAGCCGACGGAAATGAGTGACATGGTTTTTCGTAATGTACAGGGTGGTCAACTAAGAATACCTGTCCCGGCAAAAAAATATATTAGTAAGATGGCCAAGAGAAAAACCTAAAAAATATTTTCAAGTTTCTGAAATGGCCGCTAGGGGGCGTAACTGCAATTTTGAGTCTAAAGTTTCTGTGAATACCTGATGTTTAAATTCGAGCATAAAAAACGTATCTTCAAAACGACTGAGCCGATTTTAACAAACTTGGGCTAGTTGAAAAGAGGTATCCTTGGGCAAATGTTACAATATTTGTAATTTTGTCAGTTTCACATGTGGCCGCTAGAGAACGTTTTTCCACATTCCGACCGAAATGGTTAGTTTGAAGAAAAATAAATACATTGATAACAAAAGGCATGTTTAGTGTTTAAATGCATATTCACTATATGTATTTACGAAAAAGACAATAGAAGCAGGCCATAGAATAAAACAAAAGAAATACCTAATCAAAACATAATCTCGTTATATAGTTGTCAATAGTTTCGCGTTAAATTGAGCAATTTTTGTGCTTGCCAAATGCGGTTTGTCATCGATGAAGCTGCTGATATGCTTGCAGTTTATTTTGAATGTCTTCCGAATGCCGATATTCAAATCGGTATCTTTGCGATGTGAGAGTTTTTCCCGGTTAATGGCGACCTTACGCACCAATGGTAGTTTTCGGCCTACGTTCCAACGGTAAAGAATTGGATAAACATAAGAAAATATTAATCGCGTGCGGGGAAATGTTATCACAATGGCAATATTCCTTGAGTTGGGCATATCACGAACAACGGCTCAAAATATTTTTTTGGACCATAGATTCTAATGGCCATCAAAGTATACGGATTTATTTGAATAAATATGACTATTTTTATTTATTTTTGGAACGCTCCCATATCAAGCCGTTTTGCATCAGGCCTTGCAGGATGAAGACTTCGACGGGAAGCTGGCGTATTGTCATTGGGTGGCATGATACGCGAAAATGTAGAATTTTTATTTCAAATTCTTTAAACCGATGGAGCCACCTTTAATACTGCGAGGCAGCATTATTGGGTCATATTTTTTGAGCAATCCCTAAATGGCAATGTCTTTCTTGACTTTTTGGAGAATCAATTGCCGTTGTTGTTGGAAGATGTGCCACTGGAAACACGACAAAACTTGTTCTTGCAGTTGGATGGTTGCCCAGCACATTTTGCTATTATTGTGCGAGAGCATACTGATACAGCATTTCAACAGCGGTGGATTGGGAGAGGAAGTCCGTTTCCATGGCCTTCGCGATCACCAGACTTATCTTGATTTTTATATACCTATGGGGACGGTTAAAAGACATCGTGTTTCAGACTTGACCTACAACCAGAGAAGATATGAAAGACTGGATTCGTAATGCAAC